GAATTATATACCTACATATATAATTTTAAAGCCAACCTCGTATAAAGTATAAAATTATATGAAATTTCGCATAGACGCATAGAACATATTGCGTAGGAGTAGCTAACATATGTATATGTATGTCTCTACATCTATATGTAGTTGTAAGTGCATGGATCCTTCATTAACATCCATAGACTTCAGTCTAGTCATTGTCCATCCATATGCATAGAGAGACCCAACTCAGTTATTCCGATTGTGCAGGCAAACAATAGAGAGATGAATATTCCACACATATTTATATACATTTATATATACTACGCATATTCCACATGATAATCACACTTATTTACCTGTTAACTGTTAACTGTGCATTAGCTGCAATTGAAATCTGAGTGCAGGCAAAACTCAGTTTATTTGCTCAAGCTCAAGAGCAAAAGCTGAAGGTATTTCATAAATATGCATGACTTTTTGCTATTGTTATTGCCGTATCGTTTACCAGCAATAATATTAATAATTACCATTATGATTATCATTAATATTGTACGTATTCTCATTGTGTGCATTATCATCGAGCTTGTTCTTGTTCATAATATTCATAGATTTTGAGTTGAGAACTTGCCGCTGCGGCATCCAAGTGCCGTTAAGTGCCTGGCCTGGTCTGGCGATGTCTATGCAACAGGCTTGTAGCTTGTATTAAATAATACATGCATACACCTACACACACACACACACACACATTGTTTGCATTTGCCATGGGAGAATTTTGCATATTTATGAATTTAATATAGCGCAAAATAAAGACAGACGAAAGGACACATGCTCAGCAAATACATATAAACAGGCGCACCCATAAGCACACACACACACACACACATACACATGCATATATGTATGCATATATGTATATACATCCATATACTTTCGGTCTTGTGCAGCTCAACAAAGCCCAGCAGCACATTTGAATTGATTTCGAGCTTTTATTATTTGGCAAATTCTTTTCTGAACTTTGATCATTTTATATCAGACAAAAATCAAATTTACTCTTAAATAATTAATGCTGCATTAACAGTACTATGTTATCGAGTGGTCTGAAATTGAAATTTTCAAATATTTTTTATATAAATAAGAAATGCAACTAATTCGACGAATTTTGCTGTGCAGCTAAAACCAAAGCTTAATTTAAAAAAAATTTCGCATATATTTGATATTGGTTTTTTTTCTTTTTTTTTAATCAAATAATTTTGAAAATAAAATAAAATAAAATAAAAAGTAAATGGTGTGGCTAAAATTAAATCTTTTTATGACATATAAAAGGAAGTAAATAAATNATATAACTATATATAAACCCATTCATATCAATCAACCACATTAAGCAGCCACAACCGAAGCAGCTGCTGTGCCGCAGCCGCGCGTGAAGCGTCTGGCACAGCCGCGCATCTTGCGGGTGCGAGCCTCGCATGCTGGCATGGGATCGGGTCCGAGATCGGGCTCGGGAACGGGATCTGGCTTGGGTTCTGGCTCGGGCTCTGGCTCGGGCTCGGGCTCAGGCTCGGGAACGGGATCGGGATCGGGCATGGGCATGAACGCTAAACACCCTGGCAAGGGTAATAAACGCAAGGAGTTTCGCTTTGGTATGGGCATCAAGAATGCAAAACGCTCACAGCTCACATTTACAACTCAATGCACTGCACCTCGAATTGAGAAAACAACTCACTCACATTTAGATCATTATCGCTGTTATATATCAATTTAGACATAGCTATATATGTATGTATGTATATATAGACTCTGCACTTGCATGAAAGGCATTCAAATCGCACTCATTTTCAGTTCACTCATTCGTGTTTGCATTCACTCAAACAGGCATAGCACGAGTGCCACACAGCAACAAACACACCCATACACACACACACACACACAAAACACACAATGATGCCCCATGTGGCCCCCCACTTGGGGGTTGACTCAAGTGCAACATAATTGTGGCAATTTGTTTGCAGTTTATGCTCATATTTTAAATGCCGCATTAAATCAACAACGTGCCACAAACTGTTGCCACTCCCATTGTTTGTAGTTAGCGTGAATTGTGACACTCTCGCAATTATTATTAATACTATAATTATTAACCAAAAATTCAACTATAAGCAGATTATTAAATTACTAAACTTGCATTGAGCTGAAGTCTTCACGGAAGAGCCTGAAGCACATCTAACTGACTTGAGTTCTACTGAATGAACTCTTTAAATAGTTTTTGCACAATTTATTGGCTTTCTTTCTTTTAACTAACAAATTGATTGTACCAAATTTAGTATATAGATTTAAGAAACTTTATTTAAAAAATTGACAACTTTTATATTTCATATTTTTATTGATATATATCATACAAGTTTTGAACTCTTGAAAATGGGAAATCTGGGCAGATTGGTTTTATCAAAATGTATTTAAGAGGCGTGGCAGAGCCTACGAAGTATATATAGTGTTGATCAGGGCGAAGAGCTGAGACAATTTAGCTTTGTCCAGAGAGTTAGACAGCTAACTCTCTGTGCGTCCGTTCGACTAGAACAACTGCACCAGCTTGGTATAGAGGACTGAATAATTATAATTAATGAAAATGTGAGATCAAAATATAACCTATATATTTTATGTATAATA